GCGGGCTGAACAGGGGCCAGGGAGCAAGCCAGTAAGCAGCATTCCTCCATGGCCTGTGCTCTAGCTCCTGCTTCCAGGTTCCTGCTCCGAGTTCCTACCTTGGGCTCCCTGACGAACTGTGACCCAGGAGATGTAAGATAAATAAACCCTTTCCTCCCCAGGTTGGTAGTGGTCAGAGTGTTTTTTCACAGCAATGGAGAAACAAATTAGGACAGAAATTGGTACCAGAGAGTGGGATATTGCTGTGACAGACCTGACCTTGGTGTTTTGGGGAGGACTGTGGAAGTGTTTGGAACTTTGGGCTGGAAAAGCCATTGCATGCTCAGAGTTTGTTGCTGTGGAGCTTGGAACAGTTATGCTGAAAGCATTGTAGACAATAAAGGCCTGGCTTGTGAAGCTTCAAAGGGAAGTGGAGACTATCAGGGCTATTGGTGTGAGATTTTGAATTAAGAATCTGTGGGTTCTGGTTGGCTGGGGTTGAAGAATGAGCTCTGATTAAGAAGAGACCAGAACCTGAAGTAAAACCTTCGCTTTACTGGGACAATTGATGCTGGTTAGCTGGGGCTGAAAAATCAGCTGTAAGCAACAAGATACCAGCATCACTGTGGTGAAGCCTTCTGGGAGGCATTCCCTTAGAGTCAGCACACAGAGGGGACCCAAGCCTCTATCTCAAGCTGGAAGCAGGACTTGGTAATGTGTAAGAGTCTCCTGCAGGGTTCTGGTGTTGAAAGCATGAAGGGGTCACAGAGAGCAGAGGAGGCTTGGCACTCTGAGAGGCCAGGAAAGGCCATAGGTGAAAGTGCAGCTTCAGTTACAGCAAAGACCCCAGACTTGAAGGGGTCATGGAGAGAATCTGAGACTTTGCACCCCAGAGGCAAGAAGAGGCCATTGGTGAAGGTGTAGCCTCAGTTTCAGTGGAGACCCCAGCTTTTCGGAGATGCCAGGACTGTGTCGACCACCAAGGAAGGACAGGGGTAGGTGTGGAATGGAGCTGGCCTGGGTCTGCAAGATGAGCTGTGTGTGCTGTGGACCGCAGAGTCAGAGAAGTGGAGCTGACAGAACCCTTTGGAGCCAGAAGATCGTGAGTGAATCCTAGATGTCCAGCCTGGAGTTACTTTGCTGGACTTTGGTTTTGTTTAGGTGTGCCCGATTCCTCCCTTTGAAATAAGATAGTACTTGTTTTGGATTTTACAGGAGCCCCCACTTAAGAGACTTTTAAAGAGGCTATGGACTTTTAAGTGGATGGATTTTTTAAGGACTGTGGGGTTTTTAAGGTTGTACTGTCTTATGTTGTGATATTAATGTTAACATACCTTGGGGACAAGATTTGGAAAGGTTATGGTTTAATAGTGATGTGTGTCAAGTTGACAAGGGGTCAATTGTACTGGATAACTTTTAGTGTGACACACCTGGGTTGAGGGAGCCTCAATTGGGGAATTGCCTTCATTGGACTGGCCTGTGGCCGTGTCCATGGGGCACCTTCTTGATTGTTGAGTGATGTGGGAGGGCCCAGCCCACTGTGGATGGTACCACCCCTGGGCAGGTGGGCCTATGTTGCATAAGAAAGCAGGCTAAGTAGGGGCCAGGGGAGCAAGCCAGCAAGCAGCATTCCCCCATGGCCTGTGCTCCACCTCCTACCTCCAGGTTCCTGCCCTGAGTCCCTACCTTGGGCTTCCTGATAAACTGTGACCTGGGAGATGTAAGCTAAATAAACCCTTTCCTCCCCAAGTTGGTAGTGGTCAGAGTGTTTTGTTACAGCAATGGAGAGACAAACTAGGATAAGTGTTTTGCCTGCATGTATATAAGTGCACTAGGTGTGTGCAGTGTCCGCGGAGGTCAGAAGAGGATGTCGGATCCTTTGGAACTGGAATTATGGACGGTTGTTAGGCATCATATGGGTGCTGGGAATCAAACCCTGGTCCTGGAGGAATAGCCAGTGTTCTTAACCACTGAGCCATCTCTCCAGCCCCTTTTGGGGGGGGGTTTCTTTTTTTTGTCTTTTTGAGACAGGGTCTCCCTATAGCCCCAGCTATCCTGGAACTCACTGTGTAGACCAGGCTGGCCTCAAACTCACAAAGATCCACCTGCCTTTGCCTCCCAAGTGCTGGGACTAAAGGTCCAGCTAGAAATTTCACAAGTTTTAAGTTAGAAAAATGCATACACCTCTATAATTCAGACCTCTGAATGCTGTCATCATTCTATGAAGCTCCCTCATGCCTTTCCAACTCCACTCTTCCTCCTTCTCCCCCACCAGACATAGCTCTATTAATAGCATTCTAAATATGCTAAACGTAATTGAATTCATATTTTTCAATATTTCAAAAGGAAACACAGAATAGGGTTGTGGATATAGCTCAGTGGTAGAACATATGCTTTGCATGCTGTGTTCAGTCCTTAGCACCAATAAACAGACATAAACATAACACCTCAGACCAGTGTTTTTCAAAGCACAGCATGTAGCCAGCCTTAACATTAAGTTCCTGAGACACTTGTTAAAGTGCAGGCTCAGGGGCTGGGAGGAAAACTCAGTAGAGTGCACGAGTTTGTCCCCCATCACACATGCCTCCAAAATAAGAAAATGTGTCCTATATGGCCTAAAGCCGGTAAAGGTGAGAAATGTGTTTATCCAGGCCAGAATTTCAGCGTCTTTAAATGAGTATCGTAAATAAGTATCTTCAAGAACCTTACCGTGGGCTCCTCTACCCCTCTCATGTTTACTGAGATAGTTAAAAATGATATAATTATAATGCCATGTTTATATTAATCAGTTTATTTTCTCCCCTTTTATTCCAACACTATAGCAAGAAAAATTCCATCCTGCCTTAAAACCTTCCAGACCTTTGGAAGGGCGAATTGCCAGACTTACTCAGAACCGACGGCCTCTGGAGGCTTTTGTCCAGCAAGGGCCAACTTCCTGTCCAGATTGTACCCCTAGAGCTCTGTGTGCTTTTCATACGTTCATACCCAGTTCTATAGAAATGATGGCATGGAACGATAACCTACTGTCTGGGATGACCCATAAAAACCAGGATATCGAAGAGAAGATCAAGGAAGAACAAGGCTTGATGTCTACCTATACGCTCCCAACTTGTTACTCAGCAAAAGATCTGACTAGCCTTTATGACATAAAACCATTTTCAAAAATCACAGACACCAAAAAGACAGATGATTTGTACTGGAGACAGCTGGCATTAAAACCCCTACCCATATCCTGCTTTAAGTCAAACCACTACATTGACTATGAATCTTTTAAATCTGCCTTCAGTGATCCATACGCTGTGTGTCAAAACCCCATCCACCTCAGTAAGTCTAGTATTCTACAAAGCAAATCAGATATGGACTATTTCACTTATGACAATTGTTTAAGTAAACCAGAATTGTTGGGCTTGGACATGGAAAGCAATGAAGAAACAAGACCTATTCTGGGCTGGATTCCTAGAGCAAGAGTGGCCAAGCCTCAGACCAACCTGCTGGATCTTAGGAATTCATTTTCAAAATCCACTGCACGGAAACGTTTCCATAATTCCATCCTCGAAGACCATAAAGACCTCAGGGATAAATTGCACTCGGGGATGAAGCACCAGTTCTATGGCCACAATGCCCATTATTTCTATAATTGAGACATTCCTTCCCTTTTAAGACCCAGCCTCTTGCAAGAAGGTAAAATATATCACAGAATTCCCTGCATTTGGCTGGATTCTGTTTCTGTATTAAGCTATAATGACCTTGTTAATGAGATTTGTGTTTTCAAGAATTTAAGTTAGGATCTGGTCAGAAGGACCCAAAGTAATGTTCTGACTTTTTGAAGTATTTAACAGTTTGTCAATAAAATAAGAGCAAGAAAAAATTTATAGTCTTTAGCCTCATTTTAAAATTATACCCTGTGAAGAAATTTTCAAAAATCAGGAAAAGCAACATGTACAACAAAGTTTACATCGTTTTGTGAAAAATGTAAAGTTGAAAAAATTCAAATATTGAAAAACCAAGAGAGGATTATACAATGTATAGTGCTGTAATAAAATATGTCAAAACTATCTCCTCATGTAAATGCTTGCACAAAATAACTTATTTGGAAGAGGTAAGACTGAAATGCCAGTTACCTGAGGGCAGGGTGGCTCTATAAGCCATCTTAATAAAAAGTCTGTGGACCAGTCAATGGGAAGATGAAGCCCCACGCGTTCTGCATCACACATTGCAGGGTAGCTGTGGTTCCTCCCCTTTAGCCTCCTGATGAAACAGCTATATTACAAAGAAAATTATTTTGTGACAGTTTAGCCAATTTATTAGATTTCTAATTTTGGCAAGAGAAGATGACTCTATCAGTTATTCTAGAGGCCAAGATCATTTTTTGAAGTGTTGACCAAATGTTTAGCTAACTCCCATATTCAAGCCAACATATCTACTATACCAAGAGGTACATTTTTTTAAATTAAGTATTTGTGTGTGTATGTGTGTGTACTCATGTGCATGTGTGTCACAGTGTGAGTGTGGAGGTCAGAGGATAACTTTTGGGAGTCAGTTCTTTCCTTCCACTGTGGATTCCAAGGGTCTAATTCAGTCAGCAAAGGTACTTGCTGCCAAGCCTGAAGACCCATGTGTGATCCCAGGATCCATATGATAAACGGAGCAAACTCTGGTCCTCTGACCATATGCAACATGGCACATATACCCCTAATACATACACATAAGTAAATGTATTATTTTAAAACAAAACACAAAATGTAGTTGAGCAATAAGGCAACATTAGTCCTGTATCTGTGGGCTGCCAGATGGATACTGTGTATGCAGGCATAAAAATACTAAACCCCATTGCACATATCCATCAACGAGAGCTTTTTTTTAATCTTGCAAACCTGAAATTCTATACCTCTTGAGGTTAAACTTATAGAGGTGTGAGATGGAATTTGCTCAAAGGATTACTCATGTGTAATAGAAGTTGAGAGCCCCATTGCCACAGCTGAAGCTGGAAAGGCAGAGAAGTAACATGGTTAAGTCAGAACCAGATCATCCAATGGTGTACCTCTCAGTATGAGGCCAAAGGCCTGACCACTGGGTAGGTCCCAGAGCCCAAAGGCCAAAGAACCTAAAGTTCTGATTTCTCATGACTGAAAGGGGTACTCCAGATCCAGAAGGGACAGCACTGGTTTGCCTTTTCTTTACCACTTTGTTCCTCCTGGGTCCTCAACCAATTGAATGTGTTCACTCTGGATGAAAGATCTTCCTTCCTTGGTCCACTGATTCAAATGCAAGTTTCTTAGAAACACTTGACTGAGAAACCCAAAAGCAGGACTAGCTACCTGGGTATTCCAGAATCAGTCAAGTTGACACCTCAAGAGCTAAAGAATTCTAGGTTTGCAAGATTAAAGGAGTTCTGTGCATAGATGTTAGCTGATTGCCTAACAATGTGACTATACTTAAATTTCACTGAACAAAACATAAAAGTAGTCAAGATAGCAAATTCTATGTGATACATATTTTACCACAATAGAAGGGGAAAATTAATCTATAACCAGTCTATTAGTAAAAGCCCACATCTACCTCTACCCATATGTACCTCTTTATTCCACTCCCTAGCCTGACTTCAAAATTATGGTAGCTAGCATTTGTATGTAGATATCACACACACACCAGCTTCTGGTGAGGGCCTCATGGCAGACAGCATCATATGGTGGGAAGCACATATGGAAGAGGTCCCATAGACGGAAACAAGAGGGACCAGGTTTGTTCTTTTATAATGACTAGCTCTCAGAAACTACTCCACTCAGGAGAAAACTAATACAGTCTTCCAGCCCAGCATCCAGTTCTGCTTAGAGAACCAGGGGGGCACTAGTACAAAGGGCTTCCAAAAAAAAAAAATAGTCATGATCCATCTGCCTTCCATTTGGCCCTGACTCTTAAAAGCCCTAGCATCCTTCAATTCTGTTACATTCGAAAACAAACTTCCAGAACATGAACCTCTGGGGGACAAACTCTACCTAAACCAGATCCAAATCATAGTAGGCAGCCATGTGTTTAATTGGTTGTTTTCATCCTAAAGAAAAACTACTTTTCATTTTCCCCAGTGGGGGAAGAAATGGTTCCAACTACATCAAACTCCCTAGGTGACAAATTCTGTCTTAATGTTTATATTTCAAAGGAATGATCTTCAGACCTGAGAGATCTGTTACTGCAAAGGTTAGAGTAGGGACTCAGACCCTTTAGCCTTTCTAAGGGGACATTTAGAAGGAGGTGGGAATGATCTCTTTGCCCTCTGTAAATAGAGCCAAGGATGTTTGTTTATCCTTAAAATTATAATAAAAAATGTAATTTAAAGCATTTTAATTACAATGAGCCAAGGATTATTTTTAAAAGTAACAAGGCAGATTTTGAATTAAAGGTAATTTTAGAGATGAAAATTATAATCACTAAAATACTAAAGTGCATATACTAAAATATGCTTTTCATAAGGTTTAAGGATGTGCTGGTACAATGGCTCAGTGGGAGAAGGCACTTGCTGCCAAGCCTGACTACCTGAGTTTGATCCCTAGGCTCCACGTGGTGGAAGGAGAGGAGAGGACAAGTTGTCCTTTGACCTCCACACATAATAAATAAATAAATAAATAAATAAATAAATGTAATTTTTTTTTTCTTGAGATAGGGTCTCCCTGTAGCCCCAGCTGGCCTGGATTCACTATGGAGACCAGGCTGGCCTCAAACTCACAGAGATCCGCCTGCCTCTGCCTAAATAAATGTAATCTTAAAAATAAGTTTTGCAAAGTATGGTGGCTCACATCTTTAATCCCACTCAGCACTTGGGAGGCAGAAGTAGGCAGAGCTCTGTGAGTTTAAAACCAACCTGGTATACATAGTGAATTCCAGGCCAACCAGAGCTACATAGTAAGACCCTGTCTCAAAAACTTGTTTTAAAGGTCTGGAGAGATGGCTCAGCTGTTAAGAGCACTGACTGCTCTTGCAGAGGACTGGGGTTCAGTTCCCAGTACCCACATGGCAGCTAACAACCATACATGACTCCAGTTCCAGGGGATCCAACACTTTCTGACCTCTGTGGACACTACACAACACTGGTGCGCTTACATACATGCGGGCAATGCATTCATACACATAAAGTAAAAACAATAATTAAAAAATTGTTTTAAACTGGATGTGGTGGCGCACGCCTTTAATCCCAGCACTTGGGAGGCAGAGGCATGAAGATCTTTGTGAGTTCGAAGCCAGCCTGGTCTACATAGTGAGTCCCACTCCTGGGGCTACAAAGAGACCCTGTCTCAAAAAAGACAAAAAAAAAAAAAAAAAAAAAAAAAAAAAAAAAAAAAATTTTTTAAAAAGGCTAAAAAAAAAAAAAAAAAAAAAAAAAAAAAAAAAAAGAAAGAAAGAAATTGTTTTAAAAAGGTTCAAGAACAAGTAGGACTAATACACACACACATACACACCACATGTACACACACCACATGTACACATGCACATACCACATGTACACACACAGACATATACCAAACGCACTCACCATTACTTACTTCCATGGTGATATAAAGAAGTCTCTCTTTGTTGGTCAGTCTTTTACATCTGTTAGAACACCTACTGCTCTTTAGGGTATAATTTTACTTTTTGTTACTTTTCCTTAGGATCTCAGGCTCAAGATTTCTGAGGTGTGGGACTCCTGAGGCTTGTGTTGAAATGTTCCTCTGTTTCCTTCTGTCAGACATCAGGATGCACTTCCTGTTTACAACGACTTTACTCAATTTTACAGATATTTTCTTAGACTGTGCAAACAAAATCAAACCCTAAACCTGAATGGGAATAATTTGCAGTTAGGAATTCACAGAGGAAATGTATTTTGTCCCAGGCATTACAAGGGCAAGACAAATGAGACTAGCCTGGTTCTTCCCTTTACCAGTGAGTAATTGTTTCATGCTTTAGATTCAAACATGACAGCATTGTGTAGGCGTCTCTGCCAGTGCTGTCCCCCTTCTCCTTTGCCACCTGCTGAGCTATACTTCTGTCTTGCTGAGCTTCTGGTTCAGCAAAGATTCTGTAACTTCAGCAAACGTGCTTATGATGGTCCTAGAACCAGCATGTGCTTAGCACAGTATTCCTGTTCCTGCTCCTCACCTTGCACCCTGCCTCCAAACTCTTGTAGCCTCACTTATATGCTTTGATTGGGGAGAGGGGACATTTTTCATCAGGAGTGCACCTTTTTTAAAATATGTCACCTACCACGTTGCTGGAAAGAGAGATAAAGTTTGCTTTAGAATGGCTATACCTCTTACCAGCCACTACCCATCCTAAGGGATAAGCTCAATATAGGCAGCGCAGATAAAAATGAAAATAAACCAATGTGCAAAGTTTCTTTCTTCTCACATAATTCTTTCAAGTATGTTGGGGTTCTGTGGCTGTTGTTAGGGGGGTTGTTTGTTGCTGTTTTTGATCTTTTTGAGACAGGGTCTCTCTGTAGCTCCAGCTGGCCTGGAACTCACTATGTAGATCAGGCTGGCCTTGAACTCACAGAGATCCACCTGCCTCTGCCTCCTGAGTGCCACCATACCCAGCTTGTTTGTTTGTTTTTTAAAACAGAGTTTCAGGTGGGTCTTGAACTTGCTCTGTAATCCAGGATATGCTTAACCTTCTGAGCTGCCTGCCTCCACTCCCCAGATGCTGGGATTACAGACATGTGGCACCACATCGGTTTTTCTAAGATGCTGAGGATAGAATATAGGGGTTTCCTGAATGCCAGGCAAGCACTCTACTACCCAATGAGCTACACCCCCAGTCTTCTCTCAGGTATACTGAGTAGATAACACTATGAATCTCTTTAGAACTTTAAAGCAAAGGTAACACAGAACTTGTGGCACCCCCCTCCCCTTACTACAGGAGTGATGCTAAATGTTTTTGTTGTATATTCTCCTCACCTCTTCATTATTTTCAGTAACAAGATTCTTTATCCACAGTTTCATTAGTTAGAATTTTTTGTTGTTTTATTGTTGTTTGTTTTATTTTTTTGGAGAGGGTCTCCCTAGTCCCAGTCTGCCTGGAAGTCACTATGTTGACTAGGGTGGTCTTGATCTCACAGAGATCCACCTGCCTCTGCCTCCTGGGGGCTAGGATTAAAGGCGTGCACCACCATGCCTGGGTGTGACTAGAAAAATATTAAGAGCTGTTTATATTCTCTTCCTCGTGGGAATACATTTTGTTTGTTTGTTTGAGAAATGGTCCTTCTTGTTGCCCAGCCTGGCCTTGAACTGGCTGAGGATGAACTTGACTTTCTCATTCTCCTGCCTCCACCTTCCCAGTGCCAGATTACAGGCATGTGCCATTGCACAAAAATTGCTTATGAGGTGCTAGAGACGGAACGTAGGGTTTTGTGCATGCTAGGTAAGCACTCTACAAACTGAGCTGCATCCCCAGTCTATGGGAATAAGGGTTTGTTTGCTTGTTTGTTTGGTCTTTTTGAGACAGGGTCTCCCTTTAGCCACGGCTGACCTAGAACTCCCTATGCAGACCAGGCTGGCCTTGAACTCTCAGAGATCCACCTGCCTCTGCCTCCCATGTGCCTGGATTAAAGGGCGAGCCACCATGCCTGATTTGGCAATAAACAATGTCAATCTGGTCATTTGGTCAACTGAGTATCTGGTGTATCTACAAGATCTGCAGTTTTATGTTCTTTGACGTTGTCAGCAGTCAACTCATAAGAACAAAGAATAGCAACTTCTGATGCCATGAAGAAAAGATTCCAACAGAACGATTATCTTAAGGATCACATTTTCTTTAGAGAAATATGGATGACAATTTCAGGACTTGGTTTAAGGACGCACTGAATTCCAAAGTTTTGCTGAGCCAGGACTTTTAAAAACTTGAATAGTTTGCCAAATGAGTCTATACACCTAAATTCTTGATGAACCCTCCCCCAACCCCCACCCCACAAAAGTCTTGAAATTGTATTGTGATTTGTGTTTTATAGTAAGCCTGTGGCAGTAGCGTGTGGTGTTACAGAAAGTGGAATTAAAGTTGGGACACAGTTCGAAACCAATGAAAATACAGTCAGACCTGCACATCTGAGGATTCCACATCCACAGATTCAAACTGCAGATCACATCACCTACTATGTAGTTAGACTTATAACTGCTTTCATATTGAACAAGTTTAGATTTCTTTGGGTCATTTTCCCAAGGAACACTACATAGCATTTATATTGTCAGGTATTATAAGTAACCTAGAGATGGTTTAAGTAATGGGGAGGCTGTGTAGGATATATACAAATATTACATAATTAAATCAGAGGGACTTGGGCACCCATGGATTTTGGTGTGGGTGGATTGTTCAACTGCCCCAAGGGTATCTAGGAACAACTGCACTCTACTCATAAAGAGAATGGTTTGTCTGAAGAAGATCGTAGGATTGCCCGCGAGCCGGGACTCTGTCCAGCAGAGTCCAGGAAAGACGACACAGACACCAAGGTGAGGTTCAAGCTTCTGTTTCTCTTTCTCCTTTATTCTCTCTTATTCTCTTCACTATGATGCTGGCTCTCTATTACACACTTCAGCTCTTTATATAGCGTTTCCAACAGCCCTCCCCCCAGCCGGTACCGATCAGGGCTCACACACGTGCAGCGGCCAGGCAGAGTGTAGCTCATAGGCACGTAGCAAGATCATCAGGCTGGCAGCACCTGTTTGGCCTCTCCATACTTTAGAGTAAGCAAGCGGGAATCACGAGCTTTGGCAATCAGCCAAGAGTTGGAGTAAACAGCACGAGGTTTGGCAGACAGCCAGGGCGCCATCTGGCTGACTCAGCTGTGCTCGCTTCCCACATAGGATCTGCTTGGAATGGATCTAAGGTGATTTAGATCAGTCTCCTAATGATGTTTGGAGGAAGAAAGATGCTAGAATGGAAGCTCCACTTAGGTAAGTGCCGGACACCCAACACGCACTAACAAGCAAGACTAGACAGAACCGAGGAAGGCAAGAGAAGCTGGTCCGAGCTTAGCGTCCGAATCTGAGAGACAAAAGAAAAAACTCCCAGTGACGGAATTCAACGTGCGACGAAGAGGGAGCTTGTTTTGAAGTAGAACTGGAAATTGTACTAATTAAAACTTCCTTTTCCAACGTGGATGATTAGAAGCGCTGCAAGTTCCCTAGATTTCAGGAGTTCTCAAATCACGTTTCTTCCTAAAATCTTGCCTGCACACACTCCCTGATATTCTCCACACACACGAGAGGAAGTGAACAAGGAACTTCAGGGAGTAAAGGACCAGGAAGGCAATCCTTCCCTGTCTTGGACGCCCATCACTGGAAGAGCTGGAAGATGCCTTAACTGAGAGAACGCCAAACAAGAACAAGGTCAGGAGCAAGCGTGCACTTGGAAGGCAAGGGTCAGACGGCGCAGCCGAGTCAGTCTCGACCAAGCCTGGGTAAAGGTCGCCAGGAAACCTTTTATAAAGTCAGGGCGAGTCCTTTTGGGCGGCGGCCGAATGAGCCCCTCAAAGCTGGCTAGAGCTGTCACCCGAGCCCAGGGACGCCCTTGCTCCGATAGTCGGCGCCCCTCCCTCCAAGCGCAAGCGCAGAGGTCGGGGTGACGACAAACCCCGCCAGCCCCAGGCTCTCCGTCTGACGTAAGCGCCGGGCAAGAGAGGCCGGGAGAGGAAGGGCACCGGCGCGGCGCATCCTACCCTGCTGGCCCGGATGCGTGCGCAACTCGCTGCGGCGGGCCTGGATACTGGAGCCAATGAGGAACGGCTACGTCACGGCGCACCGGCCGGCGCTGCTGCACGTCGGGCCCAGCGAGGGCGGAGCGAGTGCGGTTGCACCGACACCGGTACATAGGCGCGAAGCGGCGTGTCCTTGGGCTAGAGAGCGGGACGTCCGGCTTCAGCGGGTGGCGATCGTGTGTTGCCGAGCGGAGAGCGGTGAGCACGGACGGGGAGCGTAGAGCCCAGGCACGGCTGAGGCGGGCTTTGGGGCGCGAACCTGGCCGAACGCCCTGAGGTGCAGGCCCGCGCGGGCGGGAAGGGCCCGGAGCCAGTGTGCGGTCGTGCGCGGCCCAGACTGTGAGACGTCCGGGCTCCGGCCGGGGCTGGAGGAGGCAGAGCTGCGGGGCGGTCCAAGGGGCTCCCCGCTGCGCCCCCTTGGCAGAGCTTATCTTCGAGGAAGGGCTCGGGTCTTTTCCTGGCCATCCATCGGGCATTCCAAGGGTTGGCTGCTTTGGTCTTCGGGAGACCCGCCCGTGTAGGTGACCTCGTGGTCACCCCTGGGATTGGTCAACACCAGAATGAGAAGCACCCTGCCCCAGCCCTTTTCTGTCTTCTCCTACACCAGTGCTAGAGAGAGTGACTTAACCTCTTTACCCGAGACCTCTTTTTTCTTTCTTTCCTTAATTGATGTGTTTTGCCTTATCCCTAGAAGTGGCTTTAATTTGCAGCACAAATAAGCATTCTGAGACGTGAGAATTTCAATGGTTTTGGTTTAATGGAATTGAAATTTAATTTCAGATTTGTGACTTTTTTGACCTTGACCTCATCTTTTGGAACTGAGTTTTGAGCTAGGTTTCCATTTCCCTTCCTTGAGCGTTAGCCTGAACACAGATCTGTTTTAAAGGATGTTTTCCCAAATAGTGTGTTTGGCAATAAAAAAGGGTCTTGCAAGTGTACTGTGTAAGACAGTATTGATTCTGGTACTTGATAAGACTAGTTGAGTGACTTGAATGATCATTGGTTTCCATTGTATGTGGTACTAGAAAAAATTACTGTTGGGTTTTTCATTTTTAGAATTAAAAATGGGTGATGTTGAGAAAGGCAAGAAAATTTTTGTTCTGAAGTGTGCCCAGTGTCATACCGTGGAAAAGGGAGGCAAGCACAAAACTGGACCAAATCTCCATGGTCTGTTTGGGAGGAAGACAGGTCAGGCGCCTGGATTTTCTTACACAGATGCCAACAAGAACAAAGGTAAGAAGGAGACGGTTGCTAAGTCAGACAGCACAAATCGCATGAATTACTATTATTATTTTTGGTCTTTTTGAGACAGGGTCTCCCTGTAGCCCCAGCTGTCCTGGAACTCACTATGTAGACCAGGCTGGCCTTGAACTCACAGAGATCTGCCTGCCTCTGCCTCCCAAGTGCTGGGATAAAAGGCGTGTGCCACCACGCCAGGCCAAATTGCATGAGTTTAACCAATGCATCCTTTTCTGTTTAGGCATCACCTGGGGAGAGGACACATTGATGGAGTACCTGGAGAATCCCAAAAAGTACATCCCTGGAACAAAAATGATCTTCGCTGGGATTAAGAAGAAGGGAGAGAGGGCAGACCTAATAGCTTATCTTAAAAAGGCAACTAATGAGTAATAGCCACTGCCTTATTTATTACAAAACAGATGTCTCATGGCTTTTATGTAACATTATTTAATTCATACACTAGAATTCAGATCATGATTGGCTACCTATTTTTGTTGGACAGTCCTGATTTAGATAAAATTGACTTGTAAAGTGAATATCTTTTAAAAAAAGATTCCAGTTCCATAAATATCACTGCTTTCCCTTTCTGAGGAGATGATTGGATTTAATTAACAGTGTACAATTTTTCACAAAAATGGAAAATGCTTCCTCAAAACTTATTGAAGATTGGTTTTATACTCAGATTTATATAACTGGTTATATGCATATATTTTAACCCTGGGGGAAATTCTCTTCTCTGTCTCAGAACTGGGCGAGACAGATGCCAACAAGAACAAAGGTAAGAAGGAGACGGTTGCTAAGTCAGACAGCACAAATCGCATGAATTACTATTATTATTTTTGGTCTTTTTGAGACAGGGTCTCCCTGTAGCCCCAGCTGTCCTGGAACTCACTATGTAGACCAGGCTGGCCTTGAACTCACAGAGATCTGCCTGCCTCTGCCTCCCAAGTGCTGGGATAAAAGGCGTGTGCCACCACGCCAGGCCAAATTGCATGAGTTTAACCAATGCATCCTTTTCTGTTTAGGCATCACCTGGGGAGAGGACACATTGATGGAGTACCTGGAGAATCCCAAAAAGTACATCCCTGGAACAAAAATGATCTTCACTGGGATTAAGAAGAAGGGAGAGAGGGCGGACCTAATAGCTTATCTTAAAAAGGCAACTAATGAGTAATAGCCACTGCCTTATTTATTACAAAACAGATGTCTCATGGCTTTTAATGTAACATTATTTAATTCATAGACTAGAATTCAGATCATGATTGGCTACCTATTTTTGTTGGACAGTCCTGATTTAAATAAAATTGACTTGTAAAGTGAATATCTTTTTAAAAAAAGATTCCAGTTCCATAAATATCACTGCTTTCCCTTTCTAAGGAGATGATTGGATTTAATTAACAGTATACAATTTTTCACAAAAATGGAAAATGCTTCCTCAAAACTTATTGAAGACTGGTTTTATACTCAGATTTATATAACTGGTTATATGCATATGTTTTAACCCTGGGGGAAATTCTCTTCTCTGTCTCAGAACTGGGCGAGACTCACCCGTCTTTGAATTTGTATTCACTTGCTTGTTACAGGCAGTGGTTAATGGTAAGGAAGCAGCTGTCTGTATTGTATTGTTCTTGACTCTGCCAGTTTAATTAGAATTCCCTATATCAAAAGATGCTGCCTTTTACTACTGAAAGGCATTTTAGTGTGGTTTGTGTATAGTATCAAATAAAGGATATTTAACACTTCTCAAAAAAAAAAAATTATGGCTATGCATAGTGGCTCATACCTGTAATCCCAGCACTCAGGAGGGTAAGGCAGGAGGACACTGTGAGTTCCAGACCAGCCTGGGCTACAGAGTGAGACCTTGTCTCAAAAACATAAATAAATATATAAATAAACAGCTGGGCATAGTGGTACATGCCTTTAGTTCCAACACTCAGGAAGCAGAGGCAAGCGGATCTCAGTGAGTTCAAGGCCAGCCTGGTCTACATAGTGAGTTCCAGGACAGCTGGGGCTATAGAGAGACCCTGTCTCCCAAAAGTGCATAACCTCCACATGCACTCTGAATAAATAAATAAATAAATAAATAAATAAATAAATAAATAAATTTTAAAACTTAGCAGTAGTAAAAAGTGTATAAAATTAGAATATAAAAATATTTTTGCAGGGCTGGAGAGATGGCTCAGCAGTTAAGAACACTGACTATTCTTGCAGAAGACCTGGGTTTGAATCCCAGCACCCACATGGCAGCTAACAACTGTCTGTAACTCCAGTCTCAAGGGATCTGACAGCCTCTTCTGACCTCTGCGGGCATTGCACGATATGGTGCAATACCTTAGTGTGGTTTGTGTATAGTATCAAATAAAGGATATTTAACACTTCTCAAATTTTATGGTTGGCCTATAAATTCAGATGCTTTTAAAAACCAGCATGGTAGATACATTAGCAAGTTAGACCTTTTTAATACTTTATTATCAAAACTAAGTTATGATTCAAGGTTGTCCTTAAACACCTATTCAGAACCAAGAGTGGCACTGCTGTGCATGTGTGATTGGTGTTGGTGCTTTTTGCTAACTCAGTAGATAGATTAAAACAAATGAGGTATTTGTAATGTATCCCACAGCAAGAGAAAATAATTTAAAACAATCACAGATCATTATTTTCGTTGTGCTTGATTTTATGACTAATACCACTGTATTCAGTCAACACTCACTTGCACTGCCCACAGCCTTTAAGGCTGGAATTAAGTTTGCCTGGTAAGTTAGCCAAATCTATTAAGTGGGGGCTTTGGTATCAATCAGCTGAAGGCTTTGTTGCATAGATGGTACCTCCATGTTCTAAGACTACCTAGACTTGAGTAAAATAATGATGTGAAATGTAAATCCTGTAATAAATACAAAAAGGGGACCTTCTTAGCTAAAGGGCATGTTTCTCTTAGAAATAAGGAAAGTGAGACAAAAAAAGCTAGCACTCTATAACTCAACCTGTTCCTAGTTTTTCATTGTAGGTGGCTGGTTTAGTGGTATCAGAAGTGGAAGTCAGAAGTTGTATGTGACAGCATACACCTTTAATCTCAGCACTTGGGAAGCAAAAAATTAGTCACTTGTGTTTAAGGAACTTTTCTTCCCAGTGCCACCTATACTCTGTTTAGAACAGCACTGCCCAATAGAAATCTACTATAAAGATAGTCATCTTTTATGCTTATATATCCACTGACCACCTGTGCCTATTGTATCCTTGAAGCATAATGTAAGGTTACTACACAATAATTTTTATTAAACTAAGTTTTTATAGCTAGTGGCTACTGTATTACTGACCTGGGTCTAGAACTAGAACCAGTCAATGCAAGTGCTTCCCCTCTGTTAATCTAGAATCTTTGCACATATATTCTTTTCTAATGCCTCCCTGAGTGATGATTCTAGTTCCTTTTCTAAATCTGATAATATTCTCTAATTTTACCATGTTGCCCCTTTAAATTCAGTTAGTAGGCCATTGTGGGAAGGTGGTTTTCCGGTGGCATCAGTGCCGCTTTCTGCCATTCTATTACAGACATCCTTATGTTCTGTCATTGCACTTTGAACCACTGAAGATGGCTGTAAATTATAAAGGACATGGTGGAGTCCACACTGGCTGTCTAGGAAGAAGAGGCCTAACAGTGACTAGCTCTCCACAGTTATATGTAGTCTCAAGTCAATTTCACATTGGTCGGACTCAGACAAAAGTAAACTAAAGCTGGTTCTTAGAGTGAAGATCCTTCCTTTCTAAGGGTGGCCATTTGGTCTCTCCTTTTGGTTGGAGATCTTGAATGAAAGCCAAAGATGTTGATGAGTTAGGAATGAGAACTATGTAGATCATCCAGGTGAGCTTAAGCCTGACTACAAATAGACCCAGAACATTTGTCTCTTGGTGAGTTGTCACAGTATTGCTAGGGTACATGCTTTGGCTGCATTAATATGTGTTCCAGCCAACACAAAATAGGTTTAGACTTAATAATTGGTTTCTAGATTATTTTGGTTAGAGTTTAATAAGTTTGAAAAACTAGAGATATCCTAAGCTATCCTACTCACAGAAAACTAAGTCAGTTTACATGTATTCTCAAGAATAAATGATCTGGTTCATTGGCAGTCTCTCTGACTCAGCATAACATACAGCTCACCATGCATAAAAATACACATGGGCAGAGGACCAGTGTGTAAAAATTGGTAATGCCAATTCAGTTTTTAGAAATGACCTGGCAAAAATAACAAGATATAGACTGACTTTAATTGCTGGAACTTGGTTAAAATATTTTAATCACATTACTGAAATCTCAAGATGTTAGATCTTGAGCTTAAGACATATTTTATAATCCAACTGTCATTTTACAGAGGTAGTACACCTGAGCTAGGCATACACAGAAGAGCAGCATGGTTGAAGCATGTACCAATTCAATCTTAGTCAAAATCCCCTCTTCTGGACAGATCAGATGGGTGACTGGAAAAAGCACCTGCTGCCAAGACTGATTAGATGACCTGAATTCAATTCTGGGACCTGTGGGAGCATGATGTGACACCACATTAAGTGATGCTTGAATAAAGCTTGACTGAGTATCCATTTTAACCATGATGGGACCTGAACTTTTCTGAGTGCACCTGTTCCTTCAGATTCCTCTCGGAACCGTCTTCTGGTATGAGGGCTTGCTCTTTATTTTATTGAAACTATACTCAGCATGAAATGGGGAAGTAAAAACCCTTAACAGGGTGTTGCCTCCTCTGACCCCTGTTGACCTAGGACAGCATACACATAACCACAAACTATCAATTTAATCCCTCTTTGTAACAAATGGGAAAAATTGCTTGGTACGGAAAACATACCTTCATACATTGTTCTGAATCTAGGACAAGAGTCACAAAGGATTAAAGCTCTGGCCAAGGCCTAGTAAGCTTTTACGTTATAAGCAAACTCAGACTGTTAAATGACCTCAAAATATCTTTGGTTACAAGGTTAGGTGAAAGTCATTTCTACAGTGATTCATGGCCTTGAACAAGAGAACTGACTCCTAGATGTTGTCGTCAGACCACCACATTTGCATCACGGCATCCACATGCCTGTGAACATACATGCACACACAAAATATTCTGGAAAGCCTGTTCTCACACATAATAATGACTTAATTCTTTTTTGTTTCCTGTTCACTAGAAATGGAACTGCATTCCACATTAGGCCCATATTTAATGTGTTTATATAAACATCAAGTTAACATTTTTAGTTTTAAAAGGTTAAATAGGTCTATAGCTTGAATAGTCTACTTTGAGGAACCACTGGACTAGATCATTGTATTACTTGAGGTATGGTATGGAAAATACCTCAAGCTGGGCTGGGGACTAGAAAAATTGTGTTTAGAGTACTGTGTTCATATGCAATTCCTGTAGGTCCAGTCTAACCACACACCTAATGTAAAGTAAAAACTTACTGGAACGGTTGCATTTGTTCATTTATGTATTGGTTAGGGCTAGTTGGATTTGGTAGTTAGAATTGGGTGTGGTGATACATGTCTTTTTATTGCAGCATTTGGAAGGCTGAGGCAGAAGGACTTTGAGTTCCAGGCCAGCCTGAG